TTACATTTTGAGCAAAGCCATCATGTGTGTTACTTGTTTGTAGCTTAGCCAAACTCATTTGGGTTTGTAAAGCATTATGACTTCATATGTTATAGAAAACCAACCAACTGAATAAACCTTGATTAAACAAATTGTGACTTAGTGCTGTGTATGCAATTTATTTTGAATACCAGAAATGAATAAAGCTCACAGTGTTTCCACACAAAAACTGACACCTGATAACCTCAAGCTTGCTTCATTTCAACAGATGGATTATGAATGGAGGATTTAGCATTGCTCCTAATGGTAAACAACCAGAAGTCAGAAAATGTTGCTCATCTGCTATAGGTAATTAGAAATCTACAGGTAGATCCTGATCTATCTTCTGCCCATTCCTGCTCTGAAATACACTGCGCTGACAGAATAATTTATTTCAGTCCTAAATCAAGTACCTGCTTGGTCTTTATGACAAAGCTTTTTCTTGTACACAATCTTAAAATAATCCAAGCCTGGAGGGACTTGGGGGACCTGGGGAAAAGGGAAATACTTTGTTTTCCTTCTCAGCTAACATCTGTAAGCCAGGGCAAATTTTCTTTGATCCTCCTAAAATGCAGCCATTGCAGCTCAGAATAGCCCATCACATCCCTGCTGTTCAGAAAAGGGGGGTGGGAAAGGACCCCAATGACTAAATATGGAAAAATATCATACACACATGTACTCAAATACAAAAGCAGGAATACACAGGGATCCTTTGCTCAAGGCTGGGAAACCTTAGCTCCACAGAGAACATTTCAAAGAAAGACCAATATTCTGCTTGCTCCCAGCCCCAAGGGGCAAAGCAATCAGAGCTTAATTTGAGCTGCTTTCTCCATAGGCAAAACACATTTTGACTGGAGCAGGGAGCGATGTGAGAGAGGATTTCTGTGCATGTGCAGGGTGCCCCAATAGTAAGCTTCAAGCTACAAGGGAATGAAGGTTCGAGCAGGTCTGAGACCCCATAGAGAAAAATCCAATACTCACTTCAGAAGGGGGTCGAGCTTCACATAAATCTCCGCCGCTCCCTCCCCCTCCAGTTGCCGTCCAGATCTTTAAAGGAAGGTAGGTAGGGGGCAGGCCAGAGGATCGGCGGAGAAGGGAGAAATCGACCCGGGAACCGGCCTAGAAGACCCGAGCCGTACTACGGGCGTCGGACAGGGTGTCTCCATTCAGGAACGCACCCTCCTTTCCGCTTAGAGGACAGCAGCAGCCACCCGGAGCCTCTGGAGCGCACGGGCTGAGCTGGCCAGCCCACGCTGCGCCACCTCCCGTAGCATCTCCTGCCTGCCTGCTTTCCTCCTGCGCTGAAGGGAAAAGCCCCCCGCACGTCGCCCCCACACCGTCCCGCCTGGCCACGCCACAGTCCCTCAAAGGACCCGGGAAGCCTCGGGACCGTCTTCGGCCAGCGAGACCTGCAAATTTACTCCACCTCTCTCTCTCTCTCTCTCTCTCTCCAGATGCCGCATTGGGGAGCCTGCTTGCTCGGCCGCCTCCCGCCAAGGCCCCGTCCAGCACAGGCTCCGCAGCGAGCAGCTCGGAACCCGCTCCCACCCCTTCCCGAGACACGGAGACAATAAGCAGCAGCGTCCCCACCTTCTCCCACCAAATCGCGGCTCACTTATCTCTTCAGCCTTGGCCGCCACCGCCGCCTCCCACAGGCGTCCGGCGTCTCCTTCGGCTCAAGACGCGCCTGGTGCGCGCA